CTTCACTAGGATATAACACTTTTTGCTACTGATATCGCTTGTTTTTACGAAACCAGGTAAACCCGTTCTACTTCCAATATCTAATAGTCATTTGTTACTGATCCTAATTTTTCAAAATTAATAATCAGCTACAATAACAATCTCTCAATGGGATGCGTTGAAATCATGAATCAATCTAAGTTAGACCACCATTGAAAACCTGGGAGCAATGGACTGTTGTTTCGTACTAGTATCAGAATCCTCAATGGTGCGCATACACAACTGTCACGATTCCCAGTTTCGGAGCCGTTGATTCTCACTGCTGAGGGTTCCGATACTAGAAACAAATGGCCGTTCAGTGCCTCCACGTTTTCAATGGTGATCTAATTTAGAACGGTTCATGATGACGAGTCCCAACTAGGATGAAACGCGCGCCCTGGATTCCACTATTATCCTTTATCCATCTTTGCTTGTGAATTCAGGCTATACGCAGGCAATACGCACAGTATGCACATATGCCAATTAGAGACTGACCAGTTGCAATCCTAAAACATCAATGGGAATATTCAAACAAAATACTAAGTGAATTTAATATTCGCCTTGTTGACTCATTTTTCCTATCTTCTAGTTACTGTTCGGTATGTTATTTATGTCTCTCCTTTTTCCTATGTAATAGACCGTGCTATTTATTCGTATACTAACGTTGTTAATTTAAGTTTTAGAAACAGATAAATTTTATTAAGCAAAACAGCTTACTTGTTCTGACTTTGGCAAAACCAAGACTCTGTGGTAGACTGTCTAGAGAATAGCTTAGAGTTACACCTGTCGAAACTTGCTTCCTACATCTTATTCATAATTATCAAGTGGTAGTATTTTACTTATAAATCGCTAGCCTTCATATCACTACTTGACCTTATGATATTCTGTATTCTGAGCTTTTTATGAAGCGATTCCTCTCTACTTTCAAACAGACTACATGCTATAATTATAATTATACTGTTTTCTTGAAAGCTATCGTTGGAAAGATTTCCTCTGGACAGTATATAAATAATGAAATTAGACGATAAGGGATTGTGACGAGATATGAAAGAAATACAATGTCACTCCTTTATCTCACTTACCTATGCCGGTCAACAACATTCGCCAACCAACACTATCCTGGGCAATCGTTTCCGATTATATCTAACTGCTATTCACCCTCTTAAAGACCAAATCACGTCACTACGCGTCATCGTCGAACAATTAGTTGAGTAGAACTCATCACTATACATCAACTTCATCGACTATTAGAAGGCGTTTGACAGTGTGGACTGGACAACATTATGGAAACTTCTTCGACACTTTGGAGTTCCTCAGAAGATTGTCAACATTATCCAGAACTCATACGATGGACTACCGTGCAGAGTCGTGCATGGAGGACGGCTGACAGATGCATTTCCATTAAGGACCGGAGTCAGACAAGGTTGTCTACTCTCCCCCTTCCTCTTTCTTCTGGTAATCGACTAGATTATGAAGACCTCGAAATCTGAGGGGAAGCACGGAATACAATGGACATCTCGGAACCAATTAGACGATTTGGACTTCGCAGATGATCTAACCCTCCTATCTCATACACATGAACAAATACAGACGAAGACAACTAATGTAGCAGCAGTCGCTGCATCAATAGGTCTCAATATACACAAAGGAAAAAGTAAGATTGCCAAATACAACACGGAGAACACCGACCCAACCACGCTTGATGGCGAAACTCTGGAAGAGGTGGAAACATTAACGTACCTTGGAAGCATCATTGATAAACAAGAAGGATCTGAGGCAGATGTCAAGACGGGGATTGGCAAAGCAAGGACAGCATTCTTATAATTGAAGAACATATGAAACTCCAAACAAATGTCAACTAATTCCAAAGTGAGAATCTTCAATACGAACCTCAAGACAGTCCTACTGTACTGAGCTGAGACGTGGAGAACTACTACATACATCTTCAAGAAGTTACAAGTATTTATAAACAGTTGTTTACGTAAAATACTCAACATTCACTGACCGGATACTATCAGCAACAGCGTTTTATGGGAGAGGACAAACCAGCTTCCAGCTGAAGAGGAAATTAGGAAAAGACGTTGGAAGTGGATAGGACATACATTAAGGAAACCACCAAACTGCATCACGAGGCAATCGCTAACTTGGAATCCGGAAGGGAAGAGGAAAAGAGGAAGGCCGAAGAACACATTACGCCGGTAAATAGAAGCCGATATGAAAAGGATGATTGTTAACTGGAAAGAACTGGAAAGGATTGCCCAGGACAGTGTTGGATGGAGAATGCTGGTGGACGGCCTATGCTGTAATTTTACTTCCTATTAGAATCAATTGTCCCCACTCGTGTTCTTATTCATTATAACATTACTATAGTTTATTCCAAGGATTGTGTTGACAGCTTGTTTATCTGTTACATAATATTTATTGATTCTTATTTTCATAAACTTAATACCAGAAACGTGAAAGGAAGTCAGAGACATTACCTCTGATGAGTTTGTTTACTTATTATAATGTTATATAAAGACCGATATGAATAATCTAGTTTTATACAAATGATGAAGAAACTACAAGTACACCTTTTAATTTCATCAACATGCCACATTGATCCACATTATTTTGGTTAAAAATATAAAAGAAAGATTTTGTTATAGCAATTGTCACATATAATTATGTAGCTTGCAGTTTAGGACAAATTAAGAAGTATACTCCCTCTGTAATGCACTCCACTCACAAGATGGCTTGTGAGTAGTATGTAGAGAAACGTAGCGTCGAAGTTTCAACAGGCGGCAGGCAGAAAGAAGAGTTTCAGTACAGCGAAATCACGGCATTGCTATAACACGTGGAGATCAGATTAGCAAAATACACCGAAACATGTATGGTTGAAGGCTATGTATGTGTGCGTTCAAGTGTATTCGTTTAAACACCTACTTCTCTGGATTTCGCTTATGTTTGAAATTCTCTTCTAAGACCTCTCTACGTTATTTTGTTAGGGTAAATATAGAAAACTGGGTAATTAAATGCCTATGTTTTTACTTTTGCAGAAGCGAATAGTAGAATGCACAAAAGGGAAATCGTACTATTCCTTTGATTACGAAAAGTTCGGAAAATTCAGATAAGGACACACGAATTCTGTATTATTGATGATTTTGTTTTAAAAACTTTCCGATGTTATCTATCTTAGTGTGAAAATTTAAGTAGCTTAATTTATTAACAGTTAAATTGTGAGTCGTTCGTCATGTCAATAAATAGAAAGTAAATGAATATTATATTTTGTAACTATGATGTATTTTAATTATTTCTGTTAATTATTACTCATAAAACAAGAAAATCTGCGGCATCAGATGGAAGAGATAACAGTTATGTTATGCATAAAACAAGCCAATGTTAATCTCAGTATATTGTTCTGTTCATTCATAAGTCAAAAGATGGACAAATAAATGAGCTGAGTTTTGTATAAAAAGATAATTATTTACCTGTGTTTACATTTGCTAATAGACTATGTAAAATAGGGGGTGTTATGGCTCGTATAACAATCGTTATTGTATATGAAACGTGCAATGATACAGAAAATACGTACGAGCAGTCTTGATTGCTATTCGGTCCTTCCTAACTGCCTAGCCCAGCCAGTTGAGTCCAGAACACAAATAACAGCCTCGGAAATATGAATCATTATTCACAAGCACACTGGGTTATATATACTAACCAAACAGACCCAATTATACCAAAAAATAGAAAAATAACATTTGTACAGTAATTGGCCAATGTGGCTGTAGCTAGGGGGAAAGTAATCAATAATAATAGTTCCAAGGTCAAAACAAAGGTTGTGATAAGAGGAACACGGAAACGATTAGGTCACTTATTTAACAACTATCCAATAGGGAATGGGCATATTGTATTTGTCCATAAATAGACATCAGATTTAGGTTACTCATTTAACAACTATCCAATAGGAATAGGCGTATTACATTTGTCCATAAATGGACATCAGATTTATGATTCATAATTCGCCAGGGGATACAACAGGGGGTATTAGTAGACTATCTGATTTGAGACGTGTAGACAGTACAAATCATTAGTTCAAGATGTGAATAAACCAGCAACCGTCACATTTAAAAATACGATATTTTCAAATAACACAGACTCAATTCAGTTAGTGGTCCATGTTCTCGGTTGTAGTGAATTCACAATATGGTTATTGATGAAAGTATATACAAATTTAAAATAATTTCAACAAATCAATAATTTAAGTGGAAAGTATCAGTATATGTATATCTATATAATTTTTTTGCTTCACCAGCCAAAAGCCTACATTGCTATGTAGCTTCAGATAAATATTCACTAAAAACAATCATACTATCAAATATATCAGATCTTTAGATTAATTAATTAAATTGATTATAGTACGCTGAAAATGTAAATAAGTAGTATGAAAACATTAACATAAAAAGTAAAATGAAAATCTAATTTTCAGATGAAAGGAAACATTAAAATCTTTTATCCCTGCTCAATTTTTTTAAAAGAAGAAAAACAACCAATCTGTAATATTTACCAGAAGTTTTTTATGTATCATTTAATGGGTTGATCTTTAGTAAATACTGTCTTTATCAAGCTTTACATTAAAGTAACTAAAAAGGATACATATTTCTAAGGTGTAAAACAATTCATGATTCATTAATTAATTGAAGTTATAAATTTAGTATTAAAAATATACGCATAGGACATGCTTGTATAAATAGTTAAAATTTAAGGTAGTATTGTTTGTATACAATTATATTATTAACATAAAGCAGAAAACAATATCATCACATTAAAATGATATATCAAGATGTTCCCATTTAGTCTTTTGTTTAAATTAGTAGTTTGAGAAGAAACAGTAAAATGTGTACAGAATTCAATTAGTAATTAAGTATTATTTCAATGAATAACGACTATCTCCAAGGCAAGTGAGAAAAAAAAGTAAATATTTCATTGTTCCATTTTTGTATCTAAGGATTTTCATATAAATCATGATTAGTAACAATACGTTTGACAGCATCTTTTAAAATTGTATACCGTTTAAAGAAGCCATCATTTCTGATAGAATTATAAAGGTTGTCTAATTCATTTATTTTATGTATTATTAATTGTAGACGATTTTCTAATCGGTCATTTGATTCATTTAATCGTCGATTTTGTATAGTTAATTCTTCAATTGAATAATCTAAAATAAAGTAGAAAAAAGTAAAGAGTATAGTATTAGTTAAAAGTCACTATAATGCATAGTATAATGAATTAATTAGATTCCATCTTTCCTTTAAGTTCTAATCAAAAAGTTTACATACACTAAAATATGAAAATTATCGGAAGTAAAAGATAATTATCTTGTCCACCAAAGAATAATAAATTATTTGAAAGGTTACAATCATTTAATGAATAACTCATTTTTTATTTTCCCCAAATGTCCTGGTACGACCGAGAGTGGGGAGGGGCCACCCCCCCTCTCGAAATGCTCTCACATGACCATGCGTATATAGCCTCTGCCAGGGAAGTCCTACTCACTGCCTTCTCACATCAGGAGTGTTGTTTACGAAAGTGAGAGGACAAAAAGCGAATGTCCGGCGTTTTAACAAAGTTGGTGGACACGGAGGGTCCACCTATGGGAGTTGGAAAACCTTGATTTCAAAACAATGGTGCACATGTGCTCCAGTATCCTGAGGGAACAAATGGCGTATGAACCAATTATTGGTCACCGGCTATCATGGGACTGCATCTCCTCTTGATGCTCCACTGCTTTGTGGGTTAGACCTTTTGCCCAAAGGCTCCGGGTGTGGTCTTCTAAGAAAACCACCTGCTTCAGTTTGGGCACCTGTGCAGCCCTCACACAAATCGAATGAGATTTGTGTGGCGCATATATATCTGGTGCTTCCTTGTACCAATATTTATGTGTTTAAGTAATAATTTCTTACTTTCCTGGTATGTTTATATCTCGAAGTAAACTCATTGCCTGTTTTTAAAGTTGAGGAGGAAATAATTGAGTACAATAAATAAATCGTAATCCATCAACGTTTTCTGCATGTTAGTGATTTTACTTAAACATCAATATGAAATGTAGCTTGATAGTTTTTTTCTAAGTTTATAGTCCATAATATTAAGCTCATTCTTACAAATTCCTATAAAAATCAACACCATTCTGTATGATTGGAGTATGTTGCTATGTATATATGAATCAATTCATTTTAATACATTCTAGCAAACAAAATGATTACCAAAAATAAGTTAATGTTATATTAGATTTATGATATTTAACAAAAAGGAGTCAATCTACGAAAATATTTCTATATCCAACTAGGAAACTGGAAATTTAACTGTCAAAGGCACAAACTATAGGAAATATATTTCGGTTATTAATAAGACCTTTTACCCAATAATAAATAAAATGATGTTTAATCTATAATTCTAATAAATAGTATTCAAAAAACCTTCATCTCTTCAAAAAAACAATTAAATATAAGTGAGCACATATTTAGTTTAATTGCATATAGATTATTGGTGTTTACTGTCGATAAGTCTCAAACAAGGATCAAACAGAAGTTCTGTGCTTTAATTTTCTAATGATTCCATCATGAAAACTATTTTCATACAAAACACTTTTTAAAGAATCGACCAACTACAAATGTCAAGTATTCTAATCGAAATTACCTCCCCCCCCCAAAAAAAGAAAACATGTAATTTATGTGATTGATTTTCCTAATGTTATCGGCCTACAGTTAACTCGACTATATAAGATAATGACAACTTTATCATTTATTTTTTATAGCATTTTTATTAGCTAAATGGTCTAGTTACATGAAGTGACAAAATATTCATCTCTCATTTGAATAAGAGTTTGGATCAAATCATTTTATATAAGAATTTGTGATGGTATTCTATTGTTCAATTTAACAAAGGCTAAAGAGGTTCCAAACTTACAATCCAAATTGAACTTCTAATTAATTAAGCCATCACCACATATTGCCCATAGGCGATGAAAGTTCGCCTGTTTACGCATCATTCATTTGGGATTAGAACTATTTACCACTAATAAACTGACAGGTAACCATTTATAAATTTGTTCATTCTGTCAGTTGTTTTTCAGTTCACTGCATTAGAAGACAGTTAGTTATATTCCATGCACATATTATGACATTAAACAACATAAAGCCTTAGAAACATTCAACTACGACTCGACCCATAATATAACTGACTTGATCAGTCATAGTTTTCCAATGTAACTTTAAGACAACTGTTTTATTGGAAACTGGTAATAAGAACTGAGTTTCGATTTAACGATTATTAAGTTATTTTAAAGGTACTAATTATTCAGAAATAACTGTTATCTTTACAAAAGAATTAACAGATTGTATAAACTAATATGTAATTGTTCACTGTACTAGTTTTATGTTTGACTGGAATCTGGTAAACTTTCATCCACCACCTAATTTTCCAGCAGAATACAACTAATTCAAGTATGTGGGTTTAATATACACCTAAATATCAACAAAATGAGGGTCTGTTCAGATTGTTTAGAATTAACATTAACTGAAAACCAATTGAATCGCAGTCCATATTGAACGTTGATGCGATTGTCACCGCAATTATTGGATACTGGTCACTCATTTGTCTAAAGCAGATGTATTGACTATGAGAATTAAAGACCCTGTGTTTCACCAGATATGGGTTCCGATGTCCCGTTTCCTCAAGACTGATTATAAAACATGAGCTCACAACTGTTGAGATATAAATGGAAATTTATTAAGAAAAGTCATCTTTTGTTCGAATGTCTCTGAGAACAAATTGCGTTTAAACACTTATATGATCCTTTGATTTTTTTGATGACTCGTCTATTCAGAAGCCTTAGAATGTTTACTTGACAATTTATAAATAAATATTAAAATGATATACAAATGTATATTTATGACTCTGGTAATGTTTAATTTACTCTATAAAAGAAGAGAATCGTATGTTAGTCTGTCAGAATTTTTAATACGGAAATATATTTTTCTTGCAATCTACAGTATAACATTATTTATATATCTGCTGTTTAAAACACGTTTTAACCAAAGACTAACATCGTTTAGCGAGCCATTGGACATCAAGGAACACCGGATAATTATTTTGCTGTATTTCGTAACCCGATTTCAATTAATATCCAAAAGGTTATAAGTAATCGAAATTATGATGTTCAGAACTTATGACGTCCACGATATCTCAAAGTCAGAGTTGGAATCTGGTTGTAAATATTTTCAAATCCAGTCAGTTAATGATTTGGTGCAATCTATGTTCAATATACTTTGTATTTTAATATTTTATTTTTGTTTTCTAATGAAACGTCTTTATGAGTAAATGTGTGTCAAAGTCTTTTATATTTCCCACTTTTCATTTTTCACTACACCATATAAATAATTTCAGTGACTTGAATTCAATGACAACGTTGATTTACTAAATTATAGTCAGTAACTTTAAATGAAATGTCATAAAGAGTCAAATAATAATGAATTATTTAGGACATTATAAATAATATAATGGTAAATAATAGAAAATATGACATATGAATGGATAGGTTTAGGATCCAACATTAATATAAACTAATGATTAAATATTAATTTAATCAAGTAGATAAATGTACAACTAATACTTCAAAACTAACAATCCGTATATAAATGTAAATTAAGAAGGGTACCTCAAGAGAACTTCCATGTCTTAATAAAAGACAATCAAATAAATGATATCACAGTCTATAGGGCATTTTACATGGTACAGGGACAGATAAAGTAGGTGAGAAATAATGTATTGCCAAGTTACAAAAGTCACAACAATACTGAGTGGTGGAGTGTTACAATCAAAAGTTTTCCTGATGACAGCAACACGTCAGAAAAATATTCATTCAAGTCATTTTGAACAGTCTCATACATCTTGAGTTACACTATATTCAGTTCGAATCCAGTATTGCATATCCTCCGATTCAATCACTAACTCTAATAAGTTTTGAATATCTAATAAGGTTGAAATAACGTACCTACGTCGATCAGACTCCGATTCCCTTAAAATACCGGGAGTGATCGCCACACAAATTAACATCTATGAAAGGACTGTGTCTTATTCAAAAAGTGAGGTAGTATTTCAGCTAGTGGTGGATCAAAAATTACCAATACATTTATAAGCTTCTGTATTGTCTTGATAGGTTATCAGTTTTGAATTTTTAACAGTTTTGGATAGCTTAAACTGGTGGTTTTCAAAGCAATCTACAATCAGCTAAATACTCAGTTAAATTGATATAAAACACTTTATTAATTAGAGACGGTTTTGTCACTAGTTACAAACATAGAGATCTGTTTTATAAAAGTGTAGTAAGAAGCTGCAAAATGGACAGCCAAACAAAGTAATCGTTAAACAATAACTAAGCGATAAATTTGTATAAAGATCACAAGGCCATGAATCCGCAGCGACTGAAGATATAAACCAATCAGTATAGTCAGTATACGGTTGTGGAAATTTTCGGGTTTCAATGAAGTCATTTATCGGTCGAAGTGAAACAACCTTTGAAAACATGGAAGCACTTAATACCGTTGATTAAATGACGTTGTGAGGGAACTGAAAGTAGTTCATGAGCACTTAATGCTGTGAAGTTTCAGTTCTTCCACTGTTCCTTGGGTCTCAGTGACACTGTAGTTGTCATTATCCTGAGGTGAAATTAATTAGTAGTTTTGAGTAGCAGTTGATGGAATCTTGAAGTCATTGATTTTTCATCTGTTGAACGTTTCTATGGTTTACGAATATTTAGATAATGCAATGAGAATACGAAAGTTGTCAGGCTTATGTAATTTATTTATGTAATACGTTTCAAACAGTCTGACCACACACATACTTGTTAGGACATCTTATATGAGAAATAATAAGTCAACTAGACAAATTAAAAGGTAATAAAGTACGCGAAAACAATGTGAAAACCACGTTTGGTAATAAATCAGTATTATGAGGATAGATTAAGGGTAAGAACAAATGGTTTTTGGACACATAAAGGATGTTTCAGTCTTAGCAAGTATGTGTGATCAGATTGTTCAAAATGTATTGTGCAAATATATTACGTAATCTTGATAACCTTTGTCTTCTCATTGAATTATTGAAATTTACCAAAAACAACTAATTGTTTTAAATTTTCTGAATGTATTACTATGGGGTTTATCTAAAATTTCTATATTTTCATTGATATAAACTAATACATTTTAGATAACACTAGATATAGATTATATTGGATGTATATCATTCACAAAACCACTATAATCTTTATAACACTTTAATGATGTTGGATACAAAAACAGCCATAATTTAATGTTTCATTATGAATCTTTTCTTGAATCTACATTAAAAGGTTCCAAGTGACTGAACTAAAAGTTTTCGTTTTTCTGCTTCTACAAAAATCATTACAATAAAATGAAATAGAACACTCATAGTGACACATTAAACTAACAATAAAAATGACATTCATGTGATTCCACTGAATTCTATATTTGTCAATCGACACTTCATAGATTAAATAGGATCAAAAGTGAAAAAATAATTTTTTTCTTCACTTGTACATACAAAATGCTGACTTTGTAGATTTATAGAAAAACTCCATTTAAACTATACCGTCCTATTTGTTCCATCATATTTTATAACCTTTGAAATTATGTGAGTATCTGACAGAATGATAATAACTTTTGATTAAAAAACGCAGTTTATTTTTTTTAAATTTTTTTTTTATAAACTAAGTCATTATGGTTTGGGATAAAAAATGGATTCATGTAAGATGATCAATTTAATATGGATATTTTATTATCAACTATTGTATTAGATTTCGTACCCCTGAAATATGAGAGAGAGTTTTTAATAGCTGCTTTATCACAGGTTTTTTTTATTATTTTTCAGTAAATTGTTTATGTCAATTATCTCAAATGGTTACCTAAAAAAAGATAATTTACTATTAAAAAATTGATTGAAGATATAAAGCAAAAAAAATTAAAAAAACAAAACAACCTTGACAGATTTTAAAATTATTGATTTCTTTTATTAGAAAAAGAAAACATTGATTATCAATTAAATTTTAGTGTAAATAAGTCAGTCAGGAAAAAAAACTTGAATCAGATTGCCAAGTGAAACATCTGTTGACATTAAACAAATATGTATTATTCTTCCTATAATAATTTATATTTTATTTCAAAAAATAATAATTCTTTACATTGAATTATAATTTTAAATGAATGATAGATTTTGTTAAAAGAAATGATTACTGATTGATTGATTTAAGTAGTATTAAATAGTTTAGAACTAGATCAAAACACAATCATATTTATTAATTGATATTCATTCTGTCTATAATTGACAATTAATTTTTTGACAAATAACTACATTCATTTAAATGTTAAACATTTTTTTTCAAAATCATCTTAGTGAAGAATAACATTTTTACTCATTAATGATGGCTAACAGTTCTAGCTTTAAATTATATTCTATAATATCACCCAGATAAGAAGACAATATAGAAACTTACTGAATATAGAGTCTTACATAATTGATTGGTTGAGTATAAAATTAGTCAAAATATCGTTTTTTTAATATAGCAAATCAACTGAATTATACTGGTCATGGGAGCTTTAGGCTTACCGTTCAATTAGATATGGAGTCATTAAGTCGGGGCTATTGAGGAGGCTTAGATCAATAATAAACACTTCTACATGCTTCAGGATGATATTACAGATATAAAATCACTTGGTGTCAAGGCAAATAATCCATAGTACTTTTTTTATAAGAGTTTGAGTAAATTTAGTCAGAAATCTCAGCAATAGAGTAATATACTAAGGTGTACCGATTTGTTTTATTAATCTTCATCAACGAAATCCATTCGTTAAAAATCATTTTGTTGTCTTTATGGTTTTGTATCTGAATCTGTTAGAAAAAGAAACAAACGAAATTTACAGCAACAGTTTATAGAAAGTGTACAAGTTTAGCATCCAGAAAGTTTTGGATATTTGAGTAGATAGAAGTGGATTATTGTCATCGAAATTTTGGTTGAGCAGAACATTTCAGAAATAGAAAATCTGTAAAATTATCTCGTAATCACGGTTTTCACTGTTAAATAAGAAAGACAGCTTTTCCTAATAGTTCGCTTATTAAAAACGGATTTCATACTAAGCATTAGTTCTGATCGAAACCTATCGACTAAATTGGAACAAGGAAACTGAGTTAAGTAGCTTAACAAAAACGATACAATTTATTTGATATCATACAGTTCCAAGTAGTCTACTTACATTTAACAAATGAGATATTCAGTATTGTGTCCAATGAAGGCTAAAGAAATGGTAACTCCCAGGACTAACTTATGAACTATTATATATATATATATATATATATATATATATATATATATATATATATATATAAACTACGTTTCTCCGAAATATAAGGACTGGTTATCATTAGTCTTGTGTTCTTCCTTTTTGTTCAGGGCTAGTTAGTATTAGGTCAGCCATAAAGTTCAGAGAATCAATCTTCTCATCATTGTTGATTTTTGATTACTTACAGTCGTCTATGATTATTTGTCGATGTTATAATATAATATTTGGCACTATTCGATAGATGCGAATATTAAAATAGGGGTGGTAATCTCCAGAAAATCAACAATATTCATAAGTTATAGATGTAGTAATGTAGCTAACAACTTGTTTCATGTTATATACGTGAACTGAGGAAGACGGTAAGCTGAACAAAACAATATTATTTGTGTATGTGAAAGCGAAGAAAAAAATACGGGAAAAACATGTCGTTCCTAGTATCCCACTGGATTGTTGATCAAAATATACTAACCGTAAGAGCAAAATGCGGATAGTTGCTGTAATGATAATGATTGTGAATCATTTACCTTAATACAAGAGTAAGTTTTTGATGAGAGATGTATAGCTATGCTCAGTAAATTAAATGTATTTTTTTAAGTCATCTATCTAGGATATCAATCTATTTTCAATGGGATTTCCAAAATATATAAAGTTTTACATACTGCCTTCGTTCTTTTTATGTTTAATTTGGTGCGACGCAAGGTCTTCAAAAAAATTGTAATATGGAGTTTACACGGCCTGTGTGATGTTTACAAATGTTATAATATGATTTTAAAAATTATATATAAAATCTATACATAAGCTAAAATCTAGTGAATGAATTTTGAATCCCAAGATTGTGTTCCACGAGTAATGTGATCAGTAAAAAACATAGTTAATCCATTATCATTCCAAATACAAAACAAAATAAATGTTCAGTGTTTCATAGTCTTTAATGATTACTTTGTTTCTAACTATGTGTTTGATAAATCACTTAGCTGCATAAAACTGATCGAAGAAACCTCAATGTTAAATCAGTTATATCTAGAATAACCATCTGAAAAGATCATCATTTTAACAATATTTGCATTAATATACAATATGTGCTTTACATAGTAAGTGAATTTTGTTAAGATAAACTTACTATCACACATTCGTCCAACACGTTTTTCCATTTCTCTCGCTTTAGTTTCACTTTTCAGAACATCTCCTTGTAATGTAATTTCACTTGAATTCTCTGACTGTGTAGAAAATTTCTTCAGGGAACTCTGTTCGGTGATACGTATATGCATAACAATACGTTTGACCATACCTTGTAAACTTTTAAATCGTCTTAGAGGATCTAATGAGCGACTTGTTTCATAATCTGCTTGCAGTTGTCCTAATATTTTACGTACCTGTTTCCATTCACTAGTTAAACAGTCATTTTCTATTTTAAGACGTTTAAATTCAGTTCTTGCAGGATCTTCTAGTACAGCCATAATTACTTCACGTGCTTTTGATCGATCAATGCTAAATAGCACAGACATACGACGTAATTTGTCCGATGGGAAAGATGTAGCTGCTTCATTAGATAAACTGATGGTTGTTGTGTTATTGCATAATGAATTTCTACTAGGTTGAGGAGCTAATGATGATTTTTGTGTAACTGGAGTCACTGATGTACGACGTGGTATTTTAATATTATTATCATTACTATTCCCTGAAGATGAACACATACTTCCTGTACGTGTAGATAAGTTATCTTCATGCATTATGACTGTTCACAATGCCCAATTGTATAATTGAATAAGTGTAGTTTATAAAAAAAATTGGTAAGGTCTTTAGGTGAGTATTTCATGAGTATACAACAAACACTAACCAATGAAGTGATTTAAACTACCGTACAAATATTCTCATTGGGCGATGAAAAATCCAGTAGTTTGACCAATCATAATCCTGTTTAATGTTAGCTAAGTATCAGTAATAAGTGATATCTATTTCTATCCCATTAAATAAGTAATCAAAGACAATTTAATTAGTATAGAACAAGCAACTTTTTTTATTAACAATAATAATAATGAGCAATGCAAATTTATAATTAAAATCATAATGAAATGATGACTAGTAGAAATGTCAAACTATACTGTGAGTGTGTTTGAACATCTCTTAACTAATTCTTAGTGTTGATGTTTGACAGTTCCGTAATCTAATAAAGTGATTTCCAACTTGTATGAATCTATAGCTAGAAATAAATATCACAATTTATTTAGACATATGTATAAACGTCAATCTGTTTTCGCCTATTCCATTTATCTTGATTAGGCTAATTTATATTTATTCGTCATATGGGCAAAAGTTATTTATAGTTGAAAGCGTGAGTCAATTGAAGCTAGACCACCATGGAAAACCTGGAAGCACTGGACGCCCGTTTTGTCCTATTATGGGACTCCTCAGTAATGCGCACCCACGATCCTACCCTCGGGATCCGAATCCAGGACCTTCGGTCTTGCGCTCGAACGCTTGGCCTTTAGACCATTGATCCAGCAGCATCCAACGGTGTTATTATATTACTTCAATCAATCCAAAAATTGCTCAACCATCTTCAATTGTACTGAGGTAGTTACCTGTCTCTACCTGACATGGATTGGCTCCACTGGTCACGGCTTCTCTATGGAGATTTTAGTTACGGTCAACTCACCATACCAAAAAATCTCATATTCTTGAGTATACAGTTCATAGGTGATATATCCAGTGAAGTAGTAACTCGACGTATACAAAACGCTTTAGAACGTGCATTCAATTCGGAAAGATTATACCCCACTTTCTGCAGACGGTCAATAGTGATTTAACAAAATAAGGTTAAATTACCTAGTTCCTGCTGCGGAGCTATATTATATTGGGTTCACAACTTCACAAATGTATCATCGTATTTGTGAACATTACACTTTGTGGTTGACTAGAGAACAAACGAAAGTAATGAGAAGCTATATTATGGCGTATCTAGTCGATACTGGTCACCACATAGATAACACTTCAGCGTTTAAAGTTATTCATAAAATCTCACCAAATTTACTAGAGCAGAAAAGATTAACTTCGGAAAAAGGGCTTCTGTACTCTGACCATGAAGATGAAGATCCTTCGAAAATACAAAGAGTTGAATAATATTCGTCAAAAACGCATGTAAAGCTATTTTGGGAGGAGAATCTCATGGATCAGGGTCGTGAAGAAACCTATAGAAAAAAGGAGTATTTAACAATAAATAACATTAGATGCTATGCATCAAAAACGTGTGCAGAACACTCTGAACAGTTATTTTATAAACCGTCAACACTGAACCCACCAGATATCGCAGAAGAACACAGATCTTCCTATAGATATCACTTCAACAACAATCGAAGAAATCAATATGGCCACCAAACAAACTAAGAGTGGGAAAGCAACAGTACCAAACAATATACCAGCTGAAGCACTGAGGTCGAACGTGGAAGTAACTGCAAAGATGCTCAGCGTTCTACTCAGAAAGATTTAAAAGGAAGAAAAATTGCTGAAAGACTGGAAACAAGGATAATTTCACGTCCTTAATCTGTCTACGCACTTCTATGCAGAGGACAATTTGTCTAAATCTTAATTAAGACCTTGACGCGATAGGTTGACTGGATTAACTTTGAGGCTAATATGTGTGAGTTCAGAGTGGGGCCAACTGCTTTGGATAGATAGGCGGAAACTATTCTACCACCTGATTGGCTGACAAGCATGCTAGAGAGAGAGAGAAGACAAGTCAACCAATTCCGATCTGGTTCCCGATTCTGGTTCCAGATTAGTGCAAAAAGATACAGACCAAATCGTTACATAACAGATCATCTTTAAACAAACAATTGAATGGATCTCGTCACTATACATAAACTTCCTCGATTATGAGAAAGCGTTTGGCAGCGTGGATAAGAAAATCTTATGGATCCATCTCCGACACTATGGTGTACTTAAGGATTGTCAACATTATTCAGAATTCATTCGACGGACTACACTTCAAAGTCGTGTATGGAGGACAGCTAATAAATGCATTCGAAGTGAGGACCGTTGTCAGAAAATGCTGCTTATACTCGTACTTCCTCTTTCTCTTCCTTCTGGTGGTTGACTGGGTTATGAAGACCTCGACATCACAGAGGAAGTATGCAATACAATGAACAGTTTGAACACGGCTAAACGATTTGGACTTCGCACATCACCTAGCTCTCTTATCCCATATACACCAACAAATTCAGGTAAAGAAAGTTGATGTAGAATCAGCATCTAGATCAGTGGGCCTCAACATTCACAAAGGAAGATCAGGATCCTCAAATACAACAGAGAGAACACAAACGCATTCACACTTGATGGAGAAGCAGTGGAAGTGGTGGAAAGGTTTTCATACTTGACCAGCATGATGGATGAACGAGGGAGATTTGATGTGTAATATGAAGGTTTTGATTTGCAAATCAGTGATAGCATTACTACAACTGAAAATAACTGAAACTCTAAACAATTGTCAGTCAGCATCAAAGTCAGAATCTTCAAATTCAGAATTTAATATTTTCCTATTCTACGGAATTGAAACTTTAAGAACCTGTACTGAAGTGATCGATAAATGACGTGGGAAAGGCCAATTGATTGCTCAGTGCAAAATTGCACAGTGCTGTTCTAAAGTATGAAAACTATACATCAAATACATAATTTTCACATATTCCACCAGTTGTCCTTTACATGACTCATGATTCATTCAATTCCATCGTGAATACAATTACCTTCTGCTTCTCCTCCTCTTTTCTTTAACTGAATCTTCCCAATCTTCTTCATGCATTCATTCTACTTCCTACTGGACCTACATACTACTTAAACCTTTCAACATATGTAGTATACACCACACCACAACCATCATCAAAAAAGTGCATGCATTTCTAAACATTTGTCTACGAAAGATAATCAATGTTCGTTGTGCGGATACCATCAGTAACAACTTACTGTGTGAGAGAACAAACCAGTTTCCAGCTGAAGAGGAAATTAGGTGAAGACGTTGGAGGCGAATAGAACATGCATTGACAAAATGAACAAACTGCATCATGACGCAATCCCTGACTTGGAATCCTGAAGAGTTAAGGGAAAGCGTAAGACGAAGAAGCATAATAAGTCAGGAATTGAAAGCAGACTTTAAGAGAATGTATAGCAGTTGAAAAAAAGTGTCAAGGATTTTTCAGGACAGAGTTCTGTGGAAAATCATGATTGTCGGTCTATGCTACACGAGTGCTAATAGGAATGTGTATATAAGTCAGTATTACGACGGATGCATTGCTTAACTGATTTATACATTTGAAAGTAGATATAATGAGTTTGTATTACATATCCTAAGCAAATGAACATGGAAAATATCAGAAAATATAATGTTTCACGCTAAAAAATTAGTTCTGTTGACGATTTGTTGACAATGCTAGTTTGAATAATGAAACGTAGTAAGTAATTCACTAACGATTACCGTATTTTCCGTATAAATTTAAGGTTATTGTTGAATTTAATTTTAATTTCGAATTGATCTGTGTTAGACAACCACTGATAAATTGGAAGCACTGAATGATCACCTTATTTTAGTATGAAACTCTTCGGCAGCATGTATCAATGTTCTAACGAAATTCTCATAGTAGCATTTTCTAAGCAGGTATGGATGGATTATTGAAATAATGTTAAGTTTTTTAATGAAAAAAATGTTATTTAAGACTAATGTATATTTTCTTTTTCTTATTGCATACTGTTAATTAGACACTATAGTTAAATACTATTTGGATAACATTTTAATAGTGTTAATTTACATCAGTGAGTGTACTTGACTTATAACTAATAAAATTTGGATTCATTTAGTATTGTTTGTTTGAATCTTCCCATCGATGTGTTAGGACTGCAATTGGTCAGCCTCTAATTGGCATATGTGCATACTGTGCGTATTGCCTCGATATAGCCTAAATTCACAAGCATGGTAAGCAAAGATGGACAGTGGCTATCAGTGGAATTAAGGCTATATCGAGGTAATACACACAGTATGCACATATGCCAATTAGAGACTGGCCAGTTGCAGTCCTAACACATCGATGGGAAGATTCAAACAAACAATATTAAGTGAATTAAAGCTTCACCCCATTGCACAAGCAAGTGGCTATCAGGACTCAGTGGACGAGTGGATAACACGATGGCGTTTGAAGCGAAAGGTACTGGGTTCGAGTCCCAGAGTGAACATCAACTCTGAGATGCAGGTACATCCAGCTGACGAGTCCCAAATAGGACGAAACGCGCGTCGTGGATTCCACTGCTAACCACTATCCATCTCTGCTTACCATAATAAAATTTAGGTTAGATTTGTATTGAATTAAGTACCAAAGTATATAATATCTATTCAATATATAAAATTGATTATATATTAATTAAATTGATAGAAACTTTCGTCTAAATTAGAGTGAATAGGTTAACAGTATTCGGGCGCCGAGTTGATGTAAGACATTAAATAGGAATAATATGTATTTGTAAACTCTCAGCGAATGAATTTGAAGTAAATCCATTGTTTCGCCTGGCAATCTGGTCCAACCTATAGTGTACTAATGCACCAATCACAAATATCAGTTTAATAAATATGTGAGATTATGGTAGTTTATTTTCATGGAATCGCCAGTTTCGACCTTGGTTTTGAGTGTCAAATAGGTATTGTTTGGCTTTAACTCAGAATTCGGAACATTTTATTTTGCACCAATTTTTT